TCTATTATTTGATAAAGATTTAATAATCAACTAATAGAATGTTATAGCACTAGAGTAGATGTATTGGATTATCAAAGTGTTGATGTAGTGGACTATCAAATTATTTACCAAATAAATAATTAATTAATATGTAAATGTGTAACAATGTTATAATAATCCTGTGTAGCACAGTAGTTGGTTATAAAGTTTCAACTGATTATACCTTGTAAAATCACCAAAAAAAAATTGTTTTTATTGGCCGCACAGTCCGGGTCTAATTAAATACTATTCTAAAAAAAAAAAATATTTGATTGAATTAGTCTTGATAATCGACTGTGATAGAGTAATCACTAATAGTCTCAAATAATTGAATTATTTCACGTAATAACTACTAAATACACTTGTTCAGTAAGATGCTTATTAAGTTCGCTTTCAATGACGCAAAACTCAGTTACAATATATATGCAGAAACTAAACAAAATAATTCTTATCCCCCAATACCTTCAGTCTATATTAGAAATCAACAATAATACTATTCAACACAGATTAAATAAAGATATAGTGTTGAATCAATTAGTGTATCACCAAATAATATTACAATGATCCTTCGCCAATCAACTAATGATTGACTTATTATTTTTGGTATACAATACAATTTCTATTACCCACAACTATACTTTTGTTATAGTGATTATACTTGATGATGATCAAATGTGAATGGGTAGATCAAATGTTAAACTCAAATTGAAATAACTTTGACACTTGATAATGATGTGTATATGATTAATTATGGCACTTCCTGATGATGGTGGTACTGAACTTCCGTGTAATATAACACCCACAATTTTTTTAAATGACCCAAAAAATAATATAGAATTTCAATACAATTTGCCAATATTTATAAATAAAAAGAAATAATGTAAAGAATAATAGGAAATACAAAATAATATCAAAAACACCAATATAACAATATTAATAGATAAAGTAGATGTCAATGAATGCACCAATATAATAAAATAAATGTCAATGAATGCACCAATGTAAATTATAAATAAATAAAATAAATGTCAATGACTGCACCAATGTAAATTATAAATAAATAATATTGATAATTATAATAAATAATTGAATCACCAGAAAAATAAATCAAAAATAAATTTAATAATCAATGTATATTGTTGTGCTGATCTAGTTGACTGTCCTGAAGTTGACCTGAAGCTGATTCTGCGATGGCTGTTGCTTTCTTGAAGGTTGTTTCGTTGAAGCTTGTCTGTTGAATATGCTACTGCTACTTTTAAATACTAAAGAAATGATAATTTGATATGGTTAATTGAAATTAACACACCTTAGTAATGATTTCATGAACTGGGCACTGAAACCAATTAATACTGCACAGTTTATCTGCTCACACTAGTAATTTCGGCATTGAATGCACACTAATTAAGGAATTGTTCAGTGAAATATTTATTACAGAAACTGTATACTGTTTGTGGTACTGTTCACTGTACTATAGGTTTCATAAACTGGATATTTATCATTGAGTAGTTCAACTGGTATCTACACACTTCAATAGTACCTTGTTAACTGTAGACACTAAAATAGTTCGCTGCTAGCTACACACTTCAATAGTACATTGTTAATTGTAGACAAATAATTCACTGCTAGCTACTGCTACACACTTCAATCAATACTTAGATTTGCACCGACCAATTTGATGCTTTTCCTGTCGACTGAACGTGTTTAGGACGTAGGAAAGCTTTATTGTTATCGCTTTCTTGTGATATGTGCGATTACACGATGAACTTGAAGCATGATTGATCATGAGACATTAATGAGTGCTGATCTTGAGGTTTTGTAGACTTGTCATACTGCAGTTTTCCTATTGACTGGTTTGCCACGACTGAAAATGTAGAGCTGCGACACAAATACCCAGTGTCAGAGCTGTGGTTCTTTTTGATTTCTGTACAGTTAACACTCTACCCGGTGTTTCACTGTCTTTCTATGTTTTGAAAAAACAGATCCGAAAAACAGGATCTGGTGTCGACGCTTCTCTGTGTTGTTCAGTGTAGATTTCCCACTACACTTTACCACACTTTAGTCGGCAGCAAAATTTGATCAAACAACAAGGCTTCGGAAGTTTTGCAGAGGGGCAGCCCTAGTCTCACATCATCTCTGTGTAGACTTACGGTTGTATTCCTTTGCTACAATCAATGAATGCTCTTTGACACCGTCACTGTCTGCAATCTTTCCTTCGCATCTTAGTTGATTGTTGATTACTTGGTCGAAACTTAAAACGTGGACTTGTCTATCAGTATTCAAAGCCTGGAATTTGTCCGAACGTTGTTCAATCTGTGAACTATCGAATATGGGTTGTTGTTATTTCGCCATCGATCTTCCCCGCTTACGTTCGTATGTTGAACTGCTACTACCTGACGTCAGGTTGATAACTGAACACATTTCGATGTCTCAGATTTTACTGTACGTAACAACTTTCCTGTCCTCAAATGTTTGGACGAGTTCCCCATTCTGCAGTGTTCTTCATTGTTATTAATTGCTGGCTCGAATGAGTCACTGCATTTTTCCATTCACCGACTGACAAGAACGAGAAAACATGGACGCTGGCAGACGTTCAGAAGTCACACGTACTGTTTATTTTCACTCGCTGATGTTGCAGTCAGTAAATGTTTATATACAACAATATCACTCATAAATGCTCTAAACAGTCAATCATACCTTTGTAACATCGTAGAATATATACACAATTCAAAGAACACAGTAGCTCCCTCCATCCAGAACGACAGTCATTCACAGCTGGCCACCGTTTCCGTCAGCCGCTATTTTATGCCAGGTAGGCATTGGGAAATCACGCTATTCAGACGTCAACATTCTTCCGAACTTTTTCACACGTACACCTTTCCCTTGGCCAAAACGAGACTGCCCACAAACCTTTTCCTCGCTATTATATAGCCCTCTGATCTATCCTGTTCTAGAATATTCTGGATTCATTCTCACGAATTTCCCACTGTTAAAAGTCGTTGTCTGGCCCGTGATAATTCACATTTCACATAAATCCTGTGAACAATCATGTTTCACATAAAATCTGACTTTCAGATGAAACTCAAGACATAAATCTCGTGTTATCTCAGCCAGTCAAAACATTCGTCTTACATCTATTACTGACGTCATCTATCGGGCATAAATTATTGAGGAGAAAATGACTCACTACATCAACAGCCATGTCTAACTCGTCATAAAATGCGTCAATATCTTCCTCTGAACTATCTGCCGTTGCAGCATAAATCTGTACTAAGTTGATGTCAAACGGTCTGCCGCGAAGTTTTACTAATAGTACTCTATCTGATATTGTCCAAAATCCTCTCACAGTTTTTGAGTTCTTTTGATCCTAAATAATACCAACTCTTTTATTATGTTCATTCCCACCCGAGTAAATAATTCTGTACTGATCTGAGTCCTTTTCACCTGCTCCTGGCCATTGCATTTCACTAATTCCTAATATGTTGATGTTCATTCTTTTCATTTCCATCTTGATGTTATTCAACTTTCCGTTTTGTACGAGTGTTCTGACATTCCATGTACCAATGTTCATGATGTTTCTACCATTTACTTTTTGTACAGTAGCTGGATGACGGTCGGGTCTCACCCGTAGAAGATGATGCTCCCTACCGGACGAGGTGATTCCACTGGAATCCCCATTCACGTCGTTATCTGAATATGTATTTTTTTGAGGCATGATTTTTTTGGGATAGCACAGCGGTGGTTTCCCCTTGCCTTCCGCTGGTTTGTATATGGTTTGACTCCAAAAGCCTTTGTCTAAAGAGACTTACCCTGCAAGGCAGCAGGGGGGGGGGGGGGGGGGAGAGGTTATGCGGCCTCTTACCCGCCGATGGCCATATCGTAGAGTTTTGAGGTATTTTATAGAGTTAGCTGTCCCACCAACTAACTCGCCTCCTCTCAATGACCATCACCTGTTTTGTTCCACGGCCACTTATTCAATATATTCGTGGCTAACCTCTATATCTAGAGGCCTTTCCACCATCCGCCACCTGGTGGACGCGCCTAGTAGTAGGACAGTATATAAATATATACCTTTGAAGAAAATGTGTATACCTGGATAAAAGAAGCGCTTAGCAGTATAAAAAGGTTTCAGTGGGATGACAGCTTCCACTTCCCATCCCTCTGTTTTAAACGCATATTTACTTTGTTTCCTTAGGAGGGCGGACGTGGTGGGCGAGGTGGGGGGGGGGGGGGGGGACGGTTGCTTAACGGCCTGGACCGCTAAATTCTGGCTCTATAAATCGGGTGTGAAGATGTTGGTCGATGTTGCAGCATCATAGCAGTATGATCACCTCATAACCCGAATGGGGATCTAAACTAGACGCCTGGGACTCACAAGCAATAAAACAACTGGAAGAAGTTGCAGGAGATGCGGTAGCTGCTGCTCGTGAGTCCCAGCCATCGAGGGGGATACTGTCGGAGGTGCGGCAAAGTCGTAGAAACAGGTCCGCAATTAAGATATCGCTGAGGCCATATTAGAGCATTTGTTTCGTTTTTCGAAGCCGATCCTAGTTTTGCCGCGATTTGTTCCTCGACAGGAACTCCGCATTTTGCATAGGACTGAGGCCCTGTTAGAGTATTTGTTTGGCTGCCATAATATAGGATTGAAGTTCGAAGGATAGCCAACTTCCCCTTCTTCTCTTTCGTTCCCTTCCTTTTAACGTTCACATTCTGTAAACTCTGGCAGAATGTTATGTGTGTTCGTCCACTTCTGGACTGTGGCCTTCCTCTTGAATTTGAGATTTGCATGCACATGCGTTATACAGATCTGGCTTATTTGCATGCAAACTATTAGTTCTAGATACTACGATTTGAAACGAAAACACACATACTGTTGGACTTTTACGGCATGCTTCTTAGGGGCAGGGTGGCTTTGTCCCACCTCCCCGTCTGCAGTTGCGTTCCGAAACTCACACATAGACTGTACGTTTACAGACACCCTTAACCTACCCGACAATTGTATTTGTGAACCCAGCTTTTTTCCCTCTGCTGATCACTTCTTTCAACAGGGTTGGCTTCAGCCTGAAGATGTATCTAGCCAGCTGCCCGATCCACCAAACTGATGGGTTCCCATGGAGGATGGACAGCTCCTGGGCCAAGTCTGCGGGGACGGCAGGTGGCAAGAACGCAGGGCGTTGGGGAGAATAGTTTTCCTCAGATGTTAAAAAAATGGTGTTGTCACTGCTCTTGTAGTTCAGAGTACCTAAACATGAAACAAACAAGAATAACCAACAGGTAAAAAAAAAAAAAAAGTGTCTAGCAATAACGTTGCAATTTGTGAGTGAGTGAGTGAGTGAGTGAGTGAGTAAGTGAGTTAGTTAGTGAGTGGGTGAGTGAGTGGTTAAATGAGCAAAACTGAGCCCCACCTGGACCTCACACTGAGCGATGAACACCATGTAACGCAAATGCCATGACCCAGTAATCAGATGGTAATCCCCGAGGTTGAATCCCAGAAACGCCGTCCCGCAAGAAGGTTACATTTCGGACCCGACGGTTACTAAGTAATCTGTCCAGTCCGGGTGGAGCCTTAAAAAAATTAAGCCGCTTTATTAATATCTTACCATAAATAGGGCAAATCCACAGGTCACGGAACAGTCTAATGTTTTAGGGGATGGTAGATAGGCTGCATGCAGTCGTGGGACCTAGGCTGCATGCAGTCGTTGGACCTAAGCTGCACACTCTCGTAGGATCTAGGTGGGTTGGGGTTCGGGCCAGTTCAAATGTTTTGGGGCGTCGTGAAAAGCATCAGAAAGCCAGGAAACCCAGTCTTACCAAACTCAAAAATGTTGGACTGTCCTGTGACGTCATCTGGGGGGTAAGATATTAATAAATAACCAATTATAATTGTTTCAATGGTCCCATATATGGATGGATATGTCCTGAACAATGGGTAAGAATTTGTGTACGAGGACTTGAGTGTGGATCCGGCAAAGAGGGACGGAGGAGAGGAAGAGATCGGCGTGTGTATAATCAGTGTGCGATGGGAACAGTTAGTATCTACAAATTACGACACTTGCTGCATGAGACGGAGCATCTATGGGTATGGCCGGTGTGCTATGATGGCAATTATTAAATCAGTAATCAGTAATATCCCGGAAAACTGGTCATTTAGTGCCCACCTCTTAATGTAATGTTGACACTTTTTGTGGGTCTTTTTCTTGATAATTTCTGCAATTTTTCACCTGAGTTGAGTTGAATCGAGAATTGACATCACAACACTCGGAGTATTCCCATGCGTGCTCCGTCCTTATCTTGAGCAGCCACCCAGAGTATACTCATGGTAACGGTGAGAATCTGGTTATGTGTCCGTCTTGTCTTTCCTCTGAGTGTAGTGAGCCGGCCAGACCTTCTGATTACACTCAGATGCCTCATTCTCTCCATAATAATCTTGTTTCTCTGCTGATTCCGTTGATTGTTCCCAAAGGGCCTAGACCACATCTGCCTTGTCATGTATCGATTCACCACCCCGTGGTGCAGTTCCGGCCAATATGTCTGCCTCTTCCTTTCATCTGATGTTGGACAAGGCACACTAGAGATAATTCTACAGGTCAATCATGCAGAGCTGTTTTATTATTTTTTAAACTATTAAATATTATCAAAGCAATGTTTTCCCGTTGAAAATTTGAACAAAGAGGACACAAACATTAGATTGCACAATTTATTGCCTGGCATATTTCGCTGTATCTCGTCAGGTGCATACTACAGTAACAATTAAACAAGTTAAGCAAACAAGTGAAACCTTTATAACTGAAGTACAATTTTAATAACTATCACAACATAATTGTCTATTTTTACCAGGGCAGCCGTCAAGACAGAACCATCTCTTTCTGTATACAGACTTCCAGGCGCAGGTGACGAATCGCGGAAGCTTCGAGAAATCTTAGCGTTTTACCATCGGTTGACGCATGACGGATTTGAAATGAGTTGTCCTTAGTTGCCAAGTATCCAGTTTTAGAAGATAGCGTGCTTGCAGAGGGGTGATCTTTGCGGGGAGTATTCTCATTTTGAAGATACAACGAAATATGACAGGCATTAAATTTACAACCTATTGTTTGTGTCTTCTTTGTTCATATTAAATATTAATTAAAGTCGGGAAAAATTAACATTATTATAACAGATTATTACAAGTACAAATACTCTCAGTTTCGTAACCGCCTGACGCGCCTTGAAACCTCTCTGCGCCCACCCCCCTCCCGCCTCAGAGGGCGCAGCACATCCAGGTTGAAACCATTGACATACACCTTACAATCAGCGGTTTCTAGTAAAGCAGAAGTTTTTAATTAAAATAACTACCATGAAGCCACCTATAAACCTCTTTTAACTAAAGTGAAAGGGCGAAAAATTAAATGGTATGAATATGTCATAAGATCTAACGGCGTCTCAGAAACAATACTGTAGGGCTCAGTAGAGGCGAAGGGGAGAAGAGGCTGACAAAAAAAAAAGACCAGGTTACAGAACATGACTGACTGGACAGGCCTCGGACATGCAACCAGGAAATCTATCGCAACTGACCGCGAAAGGTGGAGAGAGCTGATGAGACAGTCAACAGAAACTGATGACCCAACAGACACCTAGTATTATGGGATGATAATGATGATGATCATGAAGAGCTTATTACTATGTATACATTTTAGAATCGCACCGAAAAAAATGGTTGCATTTTTCTTCTTGCAGCAGCCATAAGTTTACTGTCAGGAAACACAAATACGAAGGGAACAGAAGAAGACATGCCAGAAAGCAAGAAACTATAACGTTTATATTACATTAATCGCTGATATGATACAACTACCTTCAAAGATTACGGTAGAAAGTTCC